AGGGAAAATTTCAATCCATTAAAGGGTATCTACTCCAAATCTAAACTTTATACTTAAGATGAAAGTTTGGAAGAGTTTCTATTAAGTCAGGAACAAGGTAAGATTGCTCTCTGTCACAACTGCAGTTCACCATCATTCTGGAGGTCCTAGCCAATGTAGTAAGAGAAACAAATAACAGGTGTAAGAATTAGAAAGAAACAACATTGTCTGTATTTGCAGGTTATATTACTGTCAATTTAGAAAATTCAAGAAAATCTAGAGAAAAACTATTTGAGCTGATAAGAGAGTTTGGCAGGGCTACTAGGTACAAGAACAACATACAAAAACAGTAAATTATTATTAATGGAAATAAGAAACCAGAAGATATTAATAGGTGAAAAGATACCGTTCTCAATGTCAATAAAAACTGGTATCTAGGAATAGATCTTATAAAAGATGTGGTAGGCCTTGCAGAAGAAAATATAAAATATTTTTAAAAACATTAAAAAGAATATAAAAGAATAAAACATGTTTATGGAAGAGAATACTCACTATCATAAAGATGTCACTTCTCTCTCAAAATAAATTACAAATTTAACTCGTTCCAATAAAAATTTATCAAGGTATTTTGTGTAACTGGCTAAGTGGATTCTAAAACTCGTATAAAAGAATAAATGTCCAAGAATATCCAAGATAATTCTGAGGAAAAAAAAGATACCAGCTATAAAGACTTACTACTAAACTACAGAAATTAAGTGGGGTAGAATTATTTCACATCAGTTTAAGGGGATAGAGAGCCTAGATGCAGACCAAACGTATCAGAGATTCAACATATGGCAGAAAGGGCACAATGATCCTATGGGGTGGAGTGGAGGGACTGGACTATGCTAATAAGTAATATAGGAATGATCAGCTTTCTGTTTGGAAAATCTTTATAAATCAACAAGAGAAAACAAATCAGTAGTGAAGAGAAAGCCTAATGATATGTACAAGCAAATCTCAGGATAAGAAAAACATCATGGTCATGCTCAACCTCATTAGCATTCAGGCAAATACAAATCAAAGCCAAATGAGATGCCACTTCGCACATCTAGGATGGCCATAATGAAAAGGACATGTGGTAACAAGTGGTGGCAAGGATGTGAGAGATCGGACCCCTCACACACTGATGGTGGCAATGTAAAATGGTATAAGTGCTTTGGAAATCAGAAAAAAAAAAATTCCTTGATTGTCCCATCTTTTACAGAAGAGATATCTGAACCACAGATCAATGAAATAATCTAGCTTTGGTCACATAGCTGGTAAGTGATAGAGCCAGACTTAGAGGCAGTTCCTCGAGAAGTTTAACATAGTGATACTACATGATCCAGCAATTCTACTCCTAGAGAATTGAAATTATATGCCTACACAAACACTTGTACATGGATGTTAATAAAAGTATTATTCATAATAGCCAATAGTCCATCAACTGATGAGTGAGTAAATAAAATGAGGTATATTCATATAATAGATTATTATGTGGCAATAAAAAGAAATGAAGTTCTGAGCCACGCTATAACATGGAGGATCCTGGAAAGAATGGTGCTAAATGAAAGAAGCCGATCACAAGAGACCACATCTTGTATTATTCCATTTATGTGAAATGTCCAAAATAGGCAAATCCATACAGACAGAAACTGAATTAGTGGTTGCCAGGGGGTAGGGGGAAAGAGCAATGGAGAGTGACTGCTAACGGGTATGTGGCTTCTTTTAGAGGTGATGAAATGTTCTAGAATTGGATAGCAGTGATGGTTGCACAATTTTGTGAATATACACTTTAAGATGGTGAATTTTTAATTTTGACAAGGTCTAATTTACCTATTCCTTTTGTTGCTTATACTTGGGGTGTCTTATTTAAGAAACCGTTGCCAAATCTGAGACAGTTTTAATGTTTAATATTTTACTGTACATTGTTCAAGGCTGAATCCCACTGTTTGCAAATCTTTTTGTCTTATTAACCTCTCCTACGACTTCGCTCTAGAAAAAAAAGATAATTTGGAAAAGAAAAAGTCACGTACAACTACATCCTTTTTTTCTTGTTTTGAATATACTGTTTAAATGCAGGAATCTGTAATAACAGAAGGGTTAGACATGAACTGTGCTCAGAGTGAGTTTGAAAGGAGCACAAACCATTCTGAACCACCAAGAACTTACTCTCCACATATGTGTGTGTAGCTGAGTCTAAGTGTGCTGGGGGCCAACTGTGTAATTAGATTCCCAAGGTAGCTTTTACATAGAATACAATATTTATTAAGAATAAGTAATAAAATGTGTGAATTTGAGGCATATTCAAGAGTACTCGCAATAATTGTTTCAACTTAAATTGTTAAAAAAATTTTTTCCCCAGGAGGAATATTTTGTAACTCCTATTGTTCAGAGTTGCCCGAGCATGAGGATGACAAAACATGGCCAATTTTCTAGTTGTTTTATTCTCGTTTGAAAATTCTATACAGACAGCACAACTCTTTTGTTTGCACCCATAATAGGCTGCTTCTACCGCCCTGCTCTTGATATGTCATGATTTTTCTTTGAAAAATTGTTCTCAAAGTGTGCCTCCCCAGCCAGCAGCTTCAATGTCACCTGGGAATTTGTTAGTTCCCAGCTCCACTCTAGACCTACTAAATCAGCAAGACAGGGAGTAGAGCCCAGAAATCTGTGTTTTAACAAGCCCTCCAGATGATTCTGATATCTGCTCAAGTTCAGAATCACTGCCTGAGAATATAGAATCTGCCATACCTAGGACTAAAGTCTAGGGCATTGGTGAATCCAGTGCCATGAAGTGACAGTGTAAAGCAGGAAAAGTGACCACCGCCTCTAGGTTCTGGCAGACCTGGACATCTGTCCCTCCTGCTACCAATGAAGAAAAGTGTCCCTGGCTAGCTGAGAGAATGTCTTAGCTTCTAGTCCTTCAAACAGTCTACATGAGACAATCATTGAATTAAAGGAAAAATCCTGGAGACTGTGGTTGCCAAAAGCGATGGGCTTTAATTTGGCTTGTTCTTTTTTTTAGGGGTTCCCGCTGCTGTGTGGCACTTAGCACCTTGGGCTGTCACTCCACATAAATGTACCTCCAGTGTTGGCAGCCCACGTCCTGTGATTCAGCCTCTGCAAAGGAGGCCTGGGCACCCAGTATGCTAAGAATAGAATTTTCCATTTCAACATTATTTGAAAGAAGCTTTTCTCTGCTTCATTCATCAGATATTAAAACTCTTCTAAATGCCAAGGATTTGTGCAGTGGCCTAGAGTTACAGTGGTAAACTGACATGGTCTCGCTCTCAAAATGTTCTTTCTCTAGGAGGAGAAAGGGGATTTTAAAAAGTAGATACAGATTGTGCTAAGTGTGATCATGATGTCTAACGTCTTCCTTCAGAAACCCATGCATTCCACTCTCCCATTCATTTCACCTACCTAACAGTCTCCAAAGATTGGTTTCCAAAACTTAATGCCATGTGAAAAGATACAACTACTTTCCATAGCCTCCAGGGAACTGCTTTTAGGCTTGAGATCATTACTGACCTCAAAGAAATAGACTAGAATATTTTAAGAGGGTGGTAGGATGTTATATAATAATTGTAACTGCTTTGATGTGCATGTTCTTTGGCCTAGTCACTTTTGGGAATCTCTCCAAAGGAGTTAATGAAGTCTTTAGAAAAGAGCTAAACTGCCACTAAAGACAGTTACTATAGCTTTGTATATTCGATAAACAAATTCAATACTGTTATTATTTGCTACTGTGAACAAATTACTCGAGCTCATTGGGTGTGATGGGTAAAATGGGGTGATAATCGGTACCCGAAAAAGTTCGTGAGGACTAAAAATCTGTGGAATTGCTGACACAGAGCAGGTATGTTCTGTATGTGTTCATTTCACTTCCTCTTTCCCATCATATTGCATTTTATTATATATGAATATATACATTTGAGAATTTATATAGTTTTTTCATATTTCCAGCACTCACCTCTCAGTGGACTGAATTCCACTGCCCTCTCCTGGCATTCTGAATGGCAGCATTCAGATATTGAATGTTTGGGGTGTCCTAACCTTGACCAGGTAAGAACTGGAGGGAGAAAGCGACCATCAACTCTTTCCTAGTCTATTGTGTTAACCTCCTGGTCTCCAGGCTTCCCCCCAATCTTTTCTGGGCATGGTAGTCAGAGAGAGTCCATTTTAGAACATAAATGTGACCAGCTTCTCAAAGCCCCCAAAGCCTCCACATGGCTTACAGGGCCCTGCCAGTTGTGGCCCCTGCCCACCTTTCCTGCCTGATTTCATGTCAGCCCAGGTTCGGCCTTTCAGTTTCTTGGGTGTTTAGAAGTTGTCTCCTCTTTCTGAAATCCTTTTCCCTGCTTCCTTCTCTCTCTGGCTCCCCTTCTTTCAGATTTCAGCTTAAATGTAACCTCAGGGAATTCTTAATCCACTGCTCTGTCTAAAATAAGTGGCCTCATTACTTTCTACCATGTATGTCAATCTGTGATTTATGTATTAGTTGGTTTATTCCAAGAGTCAGCACAGTTTTTTCCTAAAGAGCCAGATGGTAAATATTTTAGGCCTTGTGGGCCATAGGTCTCCTGCCTTTGTAAGTGTGAAAGCAGCCACATATAATAAGCATGATTGTGTTCCCATAAAACTTTATGGACATTGAATTTCATACATTTTCACGTGTCACGAGATATTCTTGTTTTTAATTTTTTTTCCCAAGTATTTAAAACTGTAAAAACCATTTCTAGTTTATAGACTGTCCAAAAACAGTCTTATTATTTGAGGATCCCAGCTGATTCTGCCCAGGATTCTTTCCAACAGCACTGAGCGCGGGGAACATCTGGACCACGCCCCTATTCTCACCACGGTGCACTCCCGCTGCGCCTGAAGCTTACTAGGGCAGGTTGGACCCTCGCTGGAGTGGGCGGGGTCTACGAGCATCGGGACGCAGGGACAGGGCGGAGCGGAGGGGCGGAGTCGAGAGGGGGCGGGGCCATGGGAAGGGGGCGGGCAGGCGCCCGCTTCCGGAGAGAGAGAGCGCGGGAGCAAGATGGCCACTACCAAGCGTGTGCTGTACGTGGGTGAGCAAGCGCGGGCGCTAGCCAGGGTCTGGGTGAACCCGGTTTCAGTGGGGCCGGATGCGGAGGGCGGCGAGCAGCTTCTTCGGCGGGATCTATGGCGGTATTGGTTTGCTTCAGGGTGTTAGCCCAAGACGTGATCTTTCCTCTTCCAAGTCCACTAAGCTCTAACCGGAACACTTTTGCCTCCTGGGCACCGAGGATTGGTAGAGGAATATTATGGACCTCTAAATCCTCGCGCCCATTCATTTTACAAACATTAACTTGCAGCGATGGCTCAGCCCAGCCCTTGCCCTAAAGGAATGGGTTCCCAGACTAGCCAGGTAGACGTGAGAATAGCCTCTATCAGCAGTTTGATAAGCGCTTTAATGGGGACGGACAATGATGACATGGGCTTGCGTGCGGGGAGAAATGTCATCTGGAGAGGCGAGAACAAACTTTCAGGATGCAGTGACGCCGGAGCTGATGAGCTGGAGTTAGCCAGGTAGCCAAAGTAGGAACGAGTGTGTTTGCTGAAAGTGTGTTTGCAAGAGCAAAAGCCCAAAGTGTGAAATAGCCTTACATTTGGGGGCAAGTAGGTCACTTCAGGAAACCCAGAGAATTGAGGGAGTAGAGAGACAGAGACTGGAGAGATGGTCAGGGCTCCGGTTATGAAGAGCCTGCTAAGGAGTTTGTACCTTATCTTGAGGAGAGTGGGAAAACTGAAGGAGTTTAAGCAGGGAAATGATGGGTTAAAATCTGCACGGTCTCATTCTAATCGGCTGTGTGGAGAAGAGGGAGATCTGTTACGAAGCTATTTCAGTCATCCTGGGGCTAGATGAGGGTCTGCAAGAAGGGTGAAGAGAGCAGTGTGTTTCATAAGTATAGATGAAGAAGTAGATAAGAGGAGTGCTTATGTATGTACCCAAAGGACTGGATGGAACGACCCCTCCCCTTGCCTAGAGCATGCTAACTGTGCTGCAGGGACTTCTCAAAAGAATGAAGGACAGTGACTCAGAAAGCCTTTGGTTTCTTTGCAGGTGGACTTGCAGAGGAGGTGGACGACAAAGTTCTTCATGCTGCTTTTATTCCTTTTGGAGACATCACAGATATTCAGATACCTCTAGATTATGAAACAGGTGAGTCCTTTTAATGTCTCTCCTGTTCAGAATTCTCCTACTGGGAAAAGAACTTAAAAGAAAACTTTAAAGTCCTACCACAGTGTATTATATGGTTGATATACACCAAAGTTCTGAAGGGTGCCTCAGTAGGGCAGCACGAAAGTGATATTGATGCAGAAGGGATGTTCTGAGGTTTGTGATTGTGAACTGTAACAACTTTGCAGAGTCCCATCTGTTGGATTTGAGATAAAGCAGAATTTACCCTAGTAGGAAGATAGATTTTGAGGTACATGGGGCTCAAAATGGACCTTACTTTTGTTTCAAACTACCTACTTGGTACCCCAGCACACCCGCTCCCTTCTCAGCAGCTGGAAAGCCTAGCCCCAACATTGCGGACTTGGCCTCTGCACACCTGGGTAAGTTTACCCTTAGTAGATATAGCAGTTACAGTTCAGTTTTCTATTTTACCTTTGTTGTCATTTTTAAGATCAGCATTTTAAGTCCAGCTCAGTCATTGACCCTGCATGATTATTAGCAAGGTCTTTAAACTCTCTGCACCTAGGATCTTTAACTGTGAAAAACAATAAGGTTATATTGGTTCTCTAAGGTCAGTTGGTTAATTAAATTAACCCTTCTGTGTTTAGTCTTTCTAGGAAGATCAGCATTTTCCTGAGAATAAAGAATGAGCATCTTTATTTGGGTTTTAGGATTCATACTTTATGTACAGTTGATGCTCATAATATGTATTTGGAATGAATATCTGATAGGTTGAATGACGTCATTGTTCTAGTTGTTTTGCATGCAAAGGTTAAGATTTTAATTTGGCTTTGTTAGCAGAACTGAATGCTTAAAGATTAAAAGTATAGTTCATTATTTAGCTATATTCACTGAAAAAAAAAAGCTTAATATTGCTAGAAATGCTGTTTAAACTAGAAAGAATTAAAGAATGAGATTTCTTCTTCCAAAATAGTGATTGGGTTGAATTTCTAATATCTAGATATGACATGTGACTGACTTCACTTTCCTTGTGATCATCTGTTTTTTCCCATTGCCCTAAATGGTAATTACTTGTTTTTGTTTTCCCTTTTTTCAGAAAAGCACCGAGGATTTGCTTTTGTTGAATTTGAGTTGGCAGAGGTGAGAAAATTCTGCGTTACCTATATTTCATCTTTGGCTTGTGTTAGTGTTATTACTGATCACAGAGGGAGCTGTTCTCCATTTGGTTAGGTTTCTGGGCCTAACTGGGCCATGCTGATGCATCCAGAGAGATAAGAAGTACTGTTTGAAGAAAAACTTCCCTCACTTAAATTTTAGGCTGTGGTTCACATCTCAGACCTGCCAAGTCCTGCCCCTCTTGCTCTGCAGAGCTCCTGCAGCCCTGCTCATCATACATTCTTGCCTGGCAGCACTGGTGACTATTTCTTATGCCTTTTACCAGATGGCTAATTGCTGTACCATCAGCTCTAAAGTCAGCTAGGAAGCGCTCTTTGTTAGACACATGCACAACCTAGGCAGTAAATATAGAAATGACTTTTCCTCTTTTTTTTTTTTTTTTTTGCTACTGAGTATGTTTAGACACCGCAGGAAGCTAAACTTGTACCTTGTCTTTTCTTGGCAGGATGCTGCAGCAGCTATTGACAACATGGTATGGCTGAGAATCTTCATTCTTACTGAAGCTATTTTTGGTGGTACAGAGGGTTTGTGTTCATATATTGGTTTGCTGAACCTCTGAAGTTACAAGGTTGCATGGGGAAGTAAAAATTGTCATGTAAAAATATTCATTGTGAATTACTCACTTACAAGATTAATCCTTACTCAAACATCCTTCCCCATTTAACATCTAATCATCTTTATTGGCTAATCTCTCACTGGCTACCCCACGTCTAGGATAATAAATTGCAAACACTATGCAAAGTAATTGCACAGGGAAATTTTATATTTTGCAAGAGAGGCAGAATTTCTTTTCATGAAGCGTTAGACTGGTTAACAGTTGAGAAGAAAAATTCAATAAGGATAATGACAGGGGGTGCTACTGACACAAATGACTTGAATGTCCTGGAGAAGTCCTTGGGGAAAATGATGACACTCTTGAGAGTTTGTGCCCTCTTTGAGATCCTTGTGATTTTCATATCAGCTATGATGTGCAAGATGTCATACTGTAGTGTTGATAGAATTTTGTTGGAAAAAATACTGCAAATTAATTAGCAGCTGTTACATCTTTGTTCTACAAATTAGTGTGTAGTTAAACCTGAATTTTAACTATAAGAAATTTATTTTTATTTTGTTTCATCACAATAAAGTCCCAGTCAAACCTTTTTAATACACTTTTTATCATGAAATTTTCTTCACTGCTCTAAGTAGATTCACATTAAGTGACCATTCTTGGTACCAGCTATCTTTGGATAGTCAGGTTCTGCTTTAGTCCTGGTTTCTGTTACCCATTAACCACACATATTCCTCAGCTCTCAGAGAGATTATTTCTCTCCATTTCAGAGCTGACCTTGAATTTTGAAGGTGAGTTCAGGTACTTGGAAACTACACTTATCCTCATAATTTCAGAGCACTCTGAACCCGGAGTTACTTTTGTTAGCACGGTTCTTGGTATTGTAGAAAGGAGATGTATGATGGCTCCAGGGAGGAAATTCCTTGCAACCCAAGGGCTGCTTTTTGGTGGGTGCAAACTTTGCTGTTAGGGGCTCAGGGATTAAGGGAGAGCAAGTCATGAGCATGTCTCAGATGTGTCAGAAGCAAATGGAAAAGCAGTCTGACTTCAGGTGCTGGATTTTCAATCTTTTCAGAATGAATCTGAACTCTTTGGACGGACAATTCGCGTCAATTTGGCCAAACCAATGAGGATTAAGGAAGGCTCTTCCAGACCAGGTGAGTGAGGACGAGCACACATTCCCCATTACATCCTCCAGTGTGGCCTTAGTTGCATTTTTTCTCACTGTTTACATGGCAGTAGGTGTTGAGTGCTACTCCTGGTGGACAGGAGTAGAGGATGATTCACGTTGGCGAAGGGCACTTGCCACTTTTGTGGTAAATGAAAAGAGTTTGAGCTTCTCCCGGCAGTTGCTTCCATTATGAGAGAAACTCTGCCTGATCTCTTATCTTTCCCAGTTTTCTCATTCCTGGGATGCTTCACCAAGGGCCTGGAACCAGCAAGGCTATACTTTTCTGATTGGCATAGCTTTTCACTTAGACTTGCTGAGCTATATACTTCAGGGCCAACATTCCCAACAGGAACTTTCCTTGCCGTTGGGAGTTCCCAGAGCAGAATCCTCTGGCTGAATGTGTTCCACTTTGCTGACCAAAGCAGCTAATTAGCAGTTGCCTGATAGCTCAAATCTCTTAACATTGGTTTGATTCTTTCCCTTCAGTTTGGTCAGATGATGACTGGTTGAAGAAGTTTTCTGGGAAGACTCTGGAAGAGAATAAAGAAGAAGAAGGCTCAGAGCCTCCCAAGGCAGAAACCCAGGAGGTGAGATCGAAGGCGCGTGCTTCTAGAGGAGAGGCTGGCACTTACCACAGGAGACTTTTTAAGCTCTTGGGAAATTTGCAAATATATATACAAAAGCAAAGAGAATAAAAAATTAACTCAGTACTTTGGTGAAGGCACTATTGAGTGAACCAAAGAGAGGTTTTAGGTCTCTCATCCTTGTACTCTGCGTCATGAGCTTCTCAGCTCCGCTCGGGTACTGCTTCATGATTGGTGGCTGCCAAGGAGGAAGCCTGAGGTGAGGACCGGTCGTGAGTGCTCCTCTTCACCTCTCCTGATCAGCCCTCCTCTTTCACTGAAGCATTCGGCACAAGGCTCACGGTCTTCCTGTTTCTTCCCTGAGGGCTGATAGGACAGGATAATGGTACTATCCCTTCCATCTGAACACAGGTTCAAGGTCCTCCCTTCCTCAGAGAACCCCTCCTTGGCACTTTCTCCTGATTCTCGGCATCTCTCTCTGGCCATTGCTTCTCAGGCCTCCCCTCCTTATGAACTTCGTTGCTTTGGGTTTCTTTTTTGACTCATGGCGTCTTTCTTTACTCTCTGCCGAACAGTGGCAGTCAGTCTGATTTTTTCGCAGCCTCTGATCTGCTGTAACTTTCTTGGTCTCTGTTTCTAGTGTTGCGCTTCAGACATTGCTGCTGTCTCTCTATCTAAAGTAGATGTCCTCCCTTCACTAATCCTGTTCTTCTTGTGTTCTCAAGCTTGTTAATTTGCCACCATCCATCCACATGTTGACCTCAGCCAGAAATTTAGATGCAAAGCAGAGCACATAAATGGCCCTCACAGTCAATGGAGTAACTGTGGGTCATCCTAGACCCCTTTTTAAAATAGAGAAAATACATCATCGTGTTCTAAGTTTTTCTCTTAAATCTTCTTGAATCCCTTCTCCCCAGTTGTTCTATTGTCCCAGTTTAGCCTCTCATCTCATTGGGATAATTGCAATAGCTTCCTAATTAGTCTTCTGGCTGCAGTCTTGCTCTCCTCCAGTCTTTCACAAAGATGGCTAGAATGATCTTTTTAAAGCAAAAGACGATATCTGACTCTCCTGCAGAGACCTTTTCGGTGACTCCCCTATCACTTGTCCCATGAGATAAAGTCCAGAGGGGCTCTCCAAGTTCTTGATGCTGCCCACCTCACCAGTTTCAGTACCCCTCTTCATATTGTGGTCCCCACTTTACACTCTGTATTCCCCTGTATATCTGCTTTTGTACAGGCGACTCAAGTGCTTATTGTCTTTCCCTTTCTAGGAAGCAAACTCAGGATAGGGGCTTTGTATTATGCATCTTGTTAATAAAAATGTAAGGTAGGGTAAGGTGATTAAGAGCATGGACTGAGTACAAAAAAAAAGAAAACAAAACTGAGAAACAAAACAAAAAGCATGGACTGGGAAGAGGAGATTGAGTAGTTTAGGTTTGAATTCCAGCTTTACCACTTACCAGCTCTGTGACCTTGGGCAAGTTACTGAACTTCATTGTGCCCCATCTATAAAATGGGGATAATTGTCCTGATCTCAAGGGTGATTATGAGGACTAAATGAGCTAATAAACATAGAACATTTAGAATAGTACCATGTATTTGCTGCTACTACTGTGCTACTGCTGCTGTTAGCAGCAAATGACAGTAATAGTGTCCTCAGTGCCCACCACGATACCTCAGCACGTTTGTTAAACTGAACCACAGACAAATTACGAACATTTGACTTTTTTCTTTGGAACAAAAGTCATGGCTGTATTAAAAGTCCCCTTGTCCTCTGCTTAGCTTCGTCTACTTAGGGTGTAGAGCAAGGCCCCAGCCTTCTCCATTGTCTTCTGAGCACTCTGGTCCAAGCCGAAAGGCTGCCCTCCTTGCTTTCGTTGTAGCCAGCCCATAGATATGCAGGGCTAAGCATGGAAGGAAGCGATGTTACATATATGGATCCGTTTAACTGGACTAAGGTGAGTGACTTGAGCTGGGGTTTCACGATGTTGAGAGCTGTGTATTGTGAGCCAGAAAAGTGTTGTTCTGTAACTGCATTGTTTTGACATTACTTATTTAGTAAATATTTATTGCTCAAATGCCAGGCACCGTTCTAAGTGCTTTGCAGATATTTAATACTATTGAGAATCTTTTGAGATAAGTACTATTATCATTCCCAATTCTAGGGGACAAAACTGGAGCACAGTGAGGTCAAATAACTTGTCGAACCTTACACAGTTTTTAAGTGGTAGAGCTGAGATTTGAAGCAAGGCTGTATCGGTCTAGGATCTGTGTGCCTCTCACAGTTGTGGCCACCCTCCCCCACTGAATAGCGAATTCACCAGGGGTAGGAACCATATCTTCTTGCTTAATAAACCCAGTGCTTGGTCTGATAGTTCAATACCTATATCTTGACCTATCCACACTACAAGAGGTCAGAGTCAATAGAATTTTCAATATCAAATAAATGGGAGGGTTTGTATTGAATGTGTTATTTACCTACTCGCCTTGTCTACTTGGAGCACAAAGCAAAGCCCAACCTCCTCCATTGTCTTCTGAGCACTTAGGCCCAAACAGGAAGGCCACTCTCTTCTCTTCTATTTTAGCCAATCTATGACTGTGTAGGGTTAGGCACAGAGGAAGAAGATTATAGGTCCATTTAACTGGACCAAAGTGAGTGGCTTGTGCTGGGGTTTGAAGATGTTGAGAGTTGTGTATTGTGGGCCAGGAAAGCGTCGTTCTCTGACTGCAGAGAAGGATGGAGCAAGCCGAGGTGTCTGAGGGCGAGTGTGATGAGATAACATGCCTGCGGGGTGGGGTTCAAGTTGAGTAGTGCTGAGGTCTCCTTTCTCTAGGTGTCCAGCTGGGTGCTGTGACCATGGCCTCTCCCTTCTGCAGCCCCATCAGGGCCCAAGGCCTTCCTGGTCAGCACCTCGCTCCAGCCTGCTCACTGTAGTTGGGCTCTGGACGTGTGCTCAGAAGAGTACTCACTGTCCTACTCGGGGAGTCGAGGAGTCTTCTCTAACCTAATGGTGTCTTCCGCGCCCAGGGAGAGCCCACAGCAAAAAAGGCCCGGTCGAATCCTCAGGTGTACATGGACATCAAGATTGGGAACAAGCCAGCCGGCCGCATCCAGATGCTCCTACGTTCAGACGTCGTCCCCATGACAGCTGGTGAGCAGGACTCCAGTCAGGACAGCCAAGAAGCTGGTGGCTGAGTACTGAGCCTTGTAAAGGTTCTCAATGCCTCGGTTCTTACGCCCTTGACATTGCTTCTGACCTGAGTAAATTTGATCCTGAGATCTAGTAACATCTATTCAGAGCAGGTGTTTTTGAGGCTTCATAAGTGCTGGTTTACTGTTTTTAAATATTTTTGTAAAAAATATAAATAAATATGTTTTCATTTAAAAAGAAAAAATATCTCACACATAGATTCCAAAAATATTGAAGGCAGTACATTTAAAACTTGTCTTTTTCTCCTATCTATATCCAGTCCTCTCTAGAATACTGTTAACTAACAGTTTCTTCAGTATTCTTTCCAGTTTTTAAATATTGACTTCTGTTTAATCTAAATTTCATTATACAGACATATAAAGTCAATTTCACAAAGTGTATTTTGATAAAACAGTAGAAATCAGCTGCCCAGTCCCCAGGTGCTGTCCTCCTACCCTCCCTCACCACCAACACCATGTGCTGCTCTTCATAGGCAGCCAATTTCAACTCTTAGCTGACACGTTTGGTTTTTACCTCAGTATTGGTAGATAACACATTTATGTTGGTGCTTCCTGATCTTTTCATGCTAGACATTATCTATTGGCTTCCTACTTCAGAAGATAAAGAGAATAACCTGGATTATTCAGGTGCCTAATATATTCACAAGCCTATAACCTGAGAACCTTTCCCATTTGTTATTTTCTGTATATCATAGCCATCCTAGTAGATGTGAAGTGGTATCTCATTGTGGTTTTGATTTACATTTCCCTAATGACTAATGTTGAGCATCTTTTCATGTGCTTCATTGGCCATTTGTATATCTTCTTTGGAGAATTATTTCAGTCTTTTGCCCATTTATTAATTGGGTTGTTTGCCTTTTTGTTGTTGAGTTGTAGGAGCTCATTATATGTTCTGGATATTAAACCCTTATTAGATGTGATTTGCAGATATTTTCTCCCATTCTGTGTGAGTTGCCTTTCTACTCTAAGATTGTCCTTTGATACACAAAAGTTTTTAATTTTGATGAAGTCTAATTAATCTGTTTTCCTTTTGTTACCAGTGCTTTTAGTGTCATATTTAAAGACCATTACCAAATCCAAAGTCACAAAGATTTGCCCATGTTTTTTTTTAACATCCTGTTTTTTTTAAAAAAAAAAATCACTCTACCAAATTGGTGAATTTATTATGAGGCCGAGCTAGAATGCCTGTATTCACTCCTCCTTTAACCAGAATTCCATGTAGTCCTTTAAGATGTCAACATCACAAAGATTTTAAAAGAAGACTTAAACAAACCTAACATAGTTTTCAGAGTCTAGTTAGAGGGAGGTTTTATTTGTTTGTTTGTTTGTTTTTAACCTGAACACCTGTCCTTTCTCAACCCCAGAGAATTTCCGTTGCCTGTGCACCCACGAGAAGGGCTTTGGCTTCAAGGGAAGCAGCTTCCACCGCATCATCCCCCAGTTCATGTGCCAGGGCGGCGATTTCACCAACCACAATGGCACTGGGGGCAAGTCCATCTACGGGAAGAAATTCGATGATGAGAACTTTATCCTCAAACACACAGGACCAGGTAGGACCCCATCAGTGGGTGGTGACAAGTGGGGCCAGGCTGGGGCAGGCTGGCTGTGCAGGGTGGATGACGAGCTGTGGTTCTGGCTGAGGGGTCGGGGGACTGGAGGAGACCCAACCAGTTCACAGAGGAGAAGCGTTCAGCCTGGCTAGAGTAGAGTAAGCTTGCTTCCATTCATGCGCTATCCATCCTTCCACCATGTCCATACTCCGTGTTATCCTAGCTTGAGTTCTGTGATTTCTCATTGTAAGCTCACTCTTATTGCCTCAACCCCACTGCCCGCCTCTCTTTGTCAGACTTACTCAGTAAAAAATTTCAGTGGTTAGTCCCCTTGCAACTAAAGAAAAACACAGAACTGCACTGAACAGTCCCACTTGAGATTTCTGACTGTAGTTCTTCAGGGCCCCTCGGCAGCCTTATTAGGTTTTCCTCATTAATCCACAGTCCCAATCAGGGATGATGGTTCCATTCCTTCCTTCACTGCTGAAGCCTCCACATCGCCCTCTGCCTCAGCTAATGGATGGCCTCCTGCATCTCTTCACACATGCTCTGTCTTCTCTCTGAGGCCTGGGATGGGCTGTCTTCCCCAGGCCAGCCCCTCTGCCTGTGGCCTGGACCCCATCGCCTCGCTCCTACTTAGGGACCTGGCTTCTGCAGTCGTTTGCCCTTGCTGCCTTGTATCCTCCATCCCCTTGCTCTGCCAGAGCAGCCCATCATAAAAGCATGTGGTATCAATCCTTTAAAATATCATCCTTTGACTCATATCCCCCTCAGCTATCACCCATGCCTCTCATCCCTGTCTAAGCAAAACTTCTTGAAAAAGTTGTGTAGACACCCTGCTTTCTGTACTCTCTATCCTCCTCTATCCAGACTTCTAGCCCCACCTCTTCGTCTTACCAACAGGCACCTCTCGGCCTCATGTTACTCTGCCTCCCAGCAGCATTTACACCGCTAACTCCTGCTCCTTGAATCTTTCTTCACTTGGCTGGCAGGACTCCTCCCGGTTCTGGTTTTCTTTTTATCTAATTGACTGCTTTTTCTCAGTCTTTGCTCTCCTCCTCTCCTGACCCCTAAAAACGGAAGTGGCCCAGAGCTGAGTCTTTGTCTCCATAGAAGCTCATTGCCCCCTTTTTCTGATAGCTTATAGTTTCCCTCTTTACTGTGCTGAAGCAGAATTCATAGATGATTATCCTACCTCCTGATATAATTGTTTTAAAAATCAATATTCTGTAACAAAGGATTATTCAGGTGCAGCAACTAGAAATGCAGGCAGCTGTGTGGACCAGCAGCTTGGACACCAGGGGTAGCATTACTGTTGGTGACATGATTTTGCGAAGTGGTAAATACAGTTGGTTAAACTCTCAGTTAAACAAAGAACAGTCTTCTCTTGATAGTAGTTGCCAAAAACAAAAACAGAAAACTTTGGGCTTAAATGTATGATGGAATTAGGTTTTAGGTGCAGAAAATTGTAAACAGATCTTCCACCCACACCATTGTCTGGTAGGACATTTCAACATCTAAGAAAATACGAGACAATTTCTCATTTTGTAAGATATTGCAGAACATGTAGCATTGCAGGCCTCCCAACCCACTAATGCCAGTAGCAACCCATAATATTTCTGATATTCAGAAATATATTTAAATTTCCAAGAAGTCCCTGGGGACAGGACCAACCCCCCCCCCACACACACACCCCCATTGAGAACCACTGGCCCAGGCAGAGTTCCAGTCTCAGGGCTCTCAGTCACATCT